TTTTCCAATGAGCACGTTGAAATCCCAGGATTTTTTGTGCATTTTTAAACAACTTTTCCGAAAGCTCAGAAGCTTTTATAAAATTTTTTGACCATTTTTCGATGGCCATAAACAAAAATTAGCTAAAAATGTTTTTTTGTAGACTTCGACTTCTAGAAGCTTTATTTCTTCCAAAATTCCCACCGTTTGAACAGAATTCCAAACTGACAATTTTAACAATTTTTGAAAAATTTTTAATTCCAATAAAATATTTCGAAAATCTTCCTTCGGGACCCTAAACATGCTGGATTTTTCGAATCTATACGTCGAGATTCTAGAGTTTTTTTTTTCTGGATTTGTAGGTAACTTTCCCGAACCTCAAATTTTCGTAGTTGATGTTATGAAAGTTTTGACCATTTTTCGACCACTTTAAAAATTATCTGAAAATATTTTTTTGTCTATTTCGAGATCGGGAAGTTATTTTCGAAATTTCCTACAGTTTTTTCACAAACGACAACTGAAAAATATGGCAAATTTTAGGATGAAAAAAAAAGACTTTCAAAACGAATTTTTCGAAAACTTTCTTCTAGGATCTTAAACATGCGTTATTTTTCGAATCAGCACGCCTAGTTTTTTTTGAGGATTATTAGGAAATTTTTCTGGAAGCTCGATTTTTCGACCAGTTTCAAAAATTAAGTACAAATATTTTTTTTGTTGATTTTGCGCTCTAGTAGTTATTTTCGGCTTCATTTCCTCAAGCATTTCTACAGTTTTTCAAGAATCGCCATTTAAAATATACCATTTTTTGGATTCTTAAAAAAATTAACTGTCAAAACGAATATTTCGAAAACCTTCCTTAAGAAATCATAAATATAGTATATTTTTCGAATCGGTACGTTGAGAATTTTCTGTGTATTTTTGGGCAACTTCTTCAAAGTTCAGTTTTCCCTCTTCAGGAAATTTTTGGACTATTTCTCGACCACATTCAAAAATTAGCTACAAATATTTTTTGTAGATTTCGGTTCTAGTTATTTTTGCTTCATTTCTTCAAAAATTCCTACAATGTTTCCAGAATCGCCAACTGAAATATGCAATTTTTTTTTTTTTTTAATATGACTCTCAAAACAAATATTTCGAAAATCTTTCTCAAAGGACCAAAAACATAGTACATTTTTCAAATTAGAACGTTGAGGTGAATATCCCAGAATTTTTTGTCTTATTTTAAACAACGTTTCAGCTCAAAAGCTTTCATGACATTTTTTGACCATTTTTTGATCATCACAAAAAAATTAGCTACAACATTTTCTTCTAGATTTCGAGCTCCAGAAGTTATTTTTGGCTTAATTTTTTCGAAAATTCCAGGAGTTTGACCAGATTTGCAGAATGTCTAGAATTTTTTATGTATTTTAGGCAACTTTTCCAAAAGCTCAATTTTTAAAATATGAAAGTTTCGGACTATTTCTTGTCAAACTTCAGTTTGACTTTTGGATCTAGACGTTATTTTTGGCTTCATTTCGTCAAAAATTCCCACAGTTCTTCCGGTATCGCCAACTGAAATATGCAATTTCTTTGATTTTTTGAAAAATACTACTTTCAAACCCATTAATTCAAAAACCTTCTTCCGGGACCCTGAACATATTATATTTTCAAATCAACTTCAGGATCAATTTTCCAGAAATTTTTGCGGAGTTTTAGACAATTTTTCCGAAAGCTTAATTTTTCGAAACTCCATCCAAATTTTCGACGACTTTTGAAAAAAATAACTAAAACTACTTTTTGTCGATTTCGAATTCTAGAAGTTATAAGTATTTCGTTTTATTTCTACGAAAATTCCTACAAATTTTCCAAAATCGCCAATTGAAGTATGAAAATTTTTTGAATTTTTAAAAAATTTGACTCAAACCAAATATCTCAAAAACCTTCTTTCGGCACTCCAAATAAGTATGTCATATTTTTCAAATCAACACGTGGATTTTTAGCAACTTCTCCGAAACCTAAAGTTTATCAAGATTTCTCCTATTCAAAAATTACTTTAAAATATTTCTTTTGTAGGCTTCGATCTCCAAAAGTTATTTTCAGTTTCATTTTTTTTTAAATCTGACAATTTTTCCAGAATCGGCAATTGAAATATGGAATATCTTCGATTTTTTGAAAAATTTTATTTTCAAACCAAATACTTTCTTATCTTATCTTATCTAATAAAAATTTCAATTTTTTTGTAGACTTCGACATCCAAAAGTTACTTTCGGTTCCATTTTTTTGAAAATCTTGGTTCTCAAAACGAATATTTAGAAAACCTTCCTCAAAGAATCATAAACATAGTATATTTTTCCAATCAGTACGTTAGGTTGATCTCCTGGAATTTTCTGTGTATTTTTGGGCAACTTTTCCAAAAGCCCAATTTAAAAAAAAATGGTTCCCCTCAGGCAATTTTTGGACTATTTCTCGACCACATTAAAAAATTAACCACAAATATTTTTTGTAGTTTTCGGGATCTAGAAGTTATTTTTAGCTTAATTTGTTAAAAAATTCTTAAAAAAAATTTTAATTATTGAAAAATGTGACTTCAAATCTAAAAACATTTTTTGTAGATTTCGACCTCTATAAGTTATTTTCGGTTTCGTTTCTTTGAAAATTCCCAGAATTTCGCCAAAATTGGCATATTTTTGAATTGCCAATTGAAAAGTATGACAATTTTAAAGATTTTTCGAAAATTTGAATTCAAGCCAAATATTTCGAAAATTTTCCTTTGGGACACTTAAACATGCTCGATTTTCCAAATCAGCTCGTGGAGATCAATATTCCAAAGTTTTTTTTTTATTTTCAGCTAACTTGTCCGAAAGCTCAATTTTTCATTATATGAAGTTCGAAGTTTCGACCATTTGTCGACCACTTTCAATAATTAAAAAAAAAAGTTTTCCATAGATTTCAACCTCCAGATGTTATTTTCACAGTTTTTCCACAATCACCAATTGAAAAATATGTTAATTTTTAGGATTTTTAAAAAATTTGACACTCAAAACGAATATGGACAACCTTCCTTCGGGACTTTAAACATGCTATATTTTTCGAATCAGCACGTCGAGGTCAATGTTTAATGTGTAATTCCAGAGTTTTTTGTGGATTTTTCGGGCAATTTTTCGAAAGCTCAATTTTTCAGTATGTGAATGAAGTTCGCAAAGTTTTGACCATTTGCGACTGCTTTCCAAAATTAACTAAAACTATGTTTTCGTAGATTCCGACCTTGAGAAGTAATTTTCAACTTCATTTCTCCGAAAATTTCGAGTTTTTCCACAATCGCTAATTGACTTTTAAACCGAATTTTTGGAAAATCTTCCTCCGGGAGTCTAAACATGCTACATTTTTGAAATAAATACGTCGAGATCAATATTCTAGAATTTCCTGGAGATTTTTATCCAACTTTATCGAAAGCTCAATTTTTCATAATATCATTTGCCAAAATCCGTCTTATTTTAGCAGGTACTAGCCCCGCCCACCCACCCTCTATTTTCTTATCGGGTATGTCATTTGCCAAAATTACCTAAAAATATTTTTTTGTATATGTCGACTTCTAGAAGGAAGTTTCTTATAGAACCATAAATATCCTACAATTTTTTATGACTTTTTAGGCAACTTTTCCTAAATGTCAATTTTCCAACCCTTTTTCCTTTTTAAAGATTTTTAAATTTTTTTGTTCGACCCCTAAACAAGAAAAAAACGAAATTTTCACAAGATAGTAAAACTAATTTAGAGATTAGAACCGACTGAATTAAAAAATAAAACTTGATTTTTCATCCTCTTCATCAAGTTTATGACGTCACCTCAAAAAATACGTTTCAAACAATGAATGTATGTTTTGAATTTTTAAGTTGTTTGCAGAAACCTCTAGTATAAAACTCTCACGAGTATCATTTATTTATTAGGTAGATAAGAGTCAGTTAAGCAAAATACACATGTTCTGTGTCGCAAGTCCATGTTTATACTTTTGATAAATCACAACATCAACAACGTGGTTTTTCCGCTGATACTGAAAACTAAACTTTGGAAAAACCATTTACCCGAAACGACTACCCAAACTAAAACAATTTTAAACTGACAAAATCTTTAACACTTCTCTTGCGAGATCGCTAATTAGACGCCGGTTTTTGCCACTTGTTTGTTAACGTTAAGCAATGCACTTATAAATAAAAGGTGCCGAAAACAGTCACTTTACGAGAGCTTAAAAAAATAATTAATCAATTAACTTTAATTTTTATTTACAATTATCTTCTTGCTTTTCAAACTTTAATAGTTTCTATTCATGGCCAGTCAATCTCTGTCTACCGGTCTTACGTAAATCAAATTAACCTCCATTTAACCATTGCAACAAACGAAGAAATAGGAAATCGCTTGTGGTATTCTTCAATCGAATTTTATTTCAGAATTTTATGCACTAAAGGTCAGAGTGTACAGAAAGGTCAAGGATGTACAGATGGTTGAAATTTATTGCTTGTACAGGATTCCCAAATGCAGAATATCGCCGATTTTTTATTTTATTTTCTTAAAAGTTGCTCAAGTTATTGAAGAGGCAAGTGTCTATGAATTTGAGTGTTTGCATAAATATGCGAGAAAATGTGCATCTAAGGTGGGTGGAGACGGTGATTGTTCAAATATAAATATCAAAGAGAAAGTTACCGAGATGCTTTTATTATATACATATATATATTTTTTAAATTATTAGTTAATACTTCACACTAGGTTCAAGGGAGAAAATTTTTAGTGTCACTACAGAGCACTTGACTTTTAGTGCATTATTATTATTATTATTATGGTGATATTTTTCTTCGAAGTACTTGCGATGTTTCACTCCTAGTTTATCTAGTGTTTAGAAAAATAAACAATTACTAGTTTCCGTTTCGGAAACAATGTTGCAATCATTTAGTACCTAAAAATTATCTCATTATGAGTAAGTACTTCTGCTTCCCCCACTACTCCACACTGTTATTAAGAAATGAATCTGGATTATTTCCTGAATCAGAGAGTTTCCTGACAGCTTACAGAGCGCCGGGACATAGTTGACACAACTATCAGAACTACCAATCCCGATAAAACGCATTATCGTTAATATAACATGAATCTATCGACAATATTTTTTTAGTTGTAAGAAATCACTCCTATCACCATTTTAAACTCTTGATTCATCGACCTTCCGGTCACTCGCCACAACTTATCATTCTTATTTCCTTCTGCGTCATTCGTACCACGATGGTTCCACTGAACGTACTGTTTTTGCTCTTCTTGACAGCAAAATTAATTTCAGGTGACTCCACCAACAACTGCAAATCCAAAGAAACATGCAGCGAGTGCATCCAAGAAATCGGGTGTCTGTGGTGCATCAATCCGGTGAGTAAAACTAACGGTGGTACCGCCGGTACTAACTCCATTTGTAGAAAACGGAAATCCACTGCGTGCACGAAAGCGAAGTGAGGGATAGCTGGTGCGAGGACAACTTCGTTATCAATCCGCAAGGGTCGGACGAAGTACTCCAGAACAGTCCATTGGCGAGTACCGAAGGAAACGCGGTACAGATTAGACCGCAGAGGGTCAAACTGACCTTGAGACGCGGAGAGGAGTATAAATTACACTTTCAGTATGCACAGGCGGAGAATTACCCCGTCGATTTGTACTACATCATGGACCTGTCTGCTTCCATGGAAGAACATCGGGAGAAGTTAGCCAAACTTGGGGCAAAACTGGCCCAAACGATGATGAACATCACTAACAACTTCAAACTGGGTTTTGGAAGCTTCGTCGATAAAGTGGATCTACCTTTTGTTAGCACGGTCCCGGCAAAGTGGGTACTTGTTGTTCAAAAAGCAAAAATTATAGTACCGTTTGTTTGTTTGTTTCAGGCTTGAACACCCCTGCAACTTGAATAAGAAAAACGGGCAAAAAGTCGTCTGCGTGTCTCCTTATAGTTTCAAAAACCATATGTCACTCTCGACTGACTATAACAAGTTTTCTCAAGAAGTGTTCGACGCTAAAGTTTCCGGAAACCTGGATGCTCCTGAAGGAGGGTTTGACGCTCTAATGCAAGCTATTGTTTGTAAAGATGTGATTGGCTGGAGGGCTCAAGCTAGACATTTGATTGTGTTTTCCACTGACGCCGAGTTTCACATAGCTGGTGATGGTAAACTTGCTGGGGTTGTGGAACCCAATGACGCTCGTTGTCACATGGTCAAAAATAGCTACACCGACTATCTCAAACTTGATTACCCTTCCATATCCCAGATTAACAACGTGGCGAAAGAAAACAACATCAACATCGTCTTTGCCATCGTCAACAAGAGACGAATCGTCGATTCCTACAAGAAGTTGTCTCAAGTCGTGGAAAATTCCAACATGGGAGCTTTGGATGAAAAATCCGAAAACGTGATCAAACTAGTGGTGGAAAACTACAACGTGAGTTTTATTTTAACAATTGTCAGTATGTAATTTTGTGATTGTAGAAAATCGTCGATTCTGTGACGATTTCGTCCAACTCTTCGAACGACGTGGAAGTCAAAATCTCGTCGACTTGTCCACACCCGAAAGCCAATGGTTGCACCAACATCCACGTTGGCGAGATAGTCAACTTCACAGCAACCATTAAACCACTGGAGTGTAGTAAAGGCTCCAACCACAAAACCATAACCATTAAACCAGAAGCTCTAGACGAAAGTATCACCATAGATTTGGAAGTTTTGTGCGACTGTGGCTGCGAGGCTACAAACAGCCAGTTCTTCATCCCCAAATCTGACAAGTGCTCAACCAACGGGACCCTAAAGTGTGGGGTCTGTGACTGCGATTTTGGTTTCTTTGGAAAGAGCTGTGAATGCAGTACTGAAACCTCACAGTCAAACGACGACACCACCTGCAAACCCAACAAAAACGACACCACTGTGTGTTCGGGTTTGGGTATCTGTAGGTGTGGCCAATGCCAATGCAACCGAAGAACCAACCCTGAGGAAAAAATCTTCGGAAAGTACTGCGACTGTGACAACTATTCTTGCAAAAGAGTCAACGGTAAGTTGTGCTCTCAGCGAGGCACGTGTGAGTGTGGGGGCATTTGCAACTGCGAGGCAGGCTGGACGGGTGATGCCTGTCAATGCCCTGATAGTACCACCGTGTGCGTTAAACCCGACGGCAACAACTTAATTTGTAACGGGCATGGTACTTGCAACTGCGGGAAGTGCGAATGCCTTGACGAAGAAGTCCGGTACTCGGGGAAGTACTGCGACGAATGCCCCACTTGCGAGGGACAACGGTGCGAAGAATTGCGACCCTGCGTCGAGTGTCAAGTTTACAAGAGTGGGGTTTACAACCAAGACGAGTGTAAAGCCAACTGTACAAACTTTTTGACTGAAGTTGTCGACAAAATCGACAACCATCAAGATAGCGATGTCAAAACTTGTACAATTGTCGACGACAACGACTGCACTTTCGTGTTTCAGTACGAGTATTTGGATGAGAAGCAGCTGAGGGTGGTAGCTGAGAAAGAAAAGGTGTGTCGGGGACCACCCGATGTTCTAGGTGAGTGTGACAATTTTGTCTGTATTGGGTTTGACAAGGTGGTTTTTAGCGTGGGTTTTGGGGGTGATTGGGTCGATTTTGCTGGCGGGGTTGATCTTGTTGCTTATTTGGAAAGTTTGTACCACGGTTCACGACCGGAGGGAGTACGCCAGGTTCGAGAATGAGCGGCAGAAGATGAAGTGGCACAGGAATGAGAATCCGTTGTACAAAGAAGCGACATCGACTTTCGCTAACCCGTTGTATCATAAGTGAGTTGGAAGGATAATCTTGTGAAACTTGATTGATCTGAGGCTGTTTGAAATTTGTAATTTATTTGTTATTGTACGTATTTAGTGTTTCTGTAGATTTGAGAAATATATTGTGTGTCGAAATTAATTAACCCAGCCTAAGCGTGCACCCTTTCCTGAGTGGAAAGGTTAAAACTAATGTGTTTTTATAACGATAAGAAATGAATGTGCTAAGGCGCAACTTTCTGCAGAATTGTTTGAATATTTATTGAACTTGTTTGATTGCAAACGCCGCTTATCTTATCAAAACGTCAAAAAAGTAAACATTGAGCGCTCTGACACAATATTTTGTTCCACATTTTTACTTCAAACACAAAATGTTAAAAATGTGTGTCGCGATGTTGTGCCTTTTCACTAAAGTTGACCCTCTTTTACAAACTCAGAAGGTATGTAGTTAAAAAAAAAAGTGGTCATTAAATTTTCGATCATGTGTTCAAGGAAGTTGATTTAATAGATATAGACGTCACTCCATCTGGATTAAACAAACACGAAGAAGTCATTCAAGGTAGTAAGTTTAAATTATCATTACTGGATTTAATATTTTTAATTTAGAAATGGAGAGCGAGGAACTAATTCTAGCAGAAATGGAAGACTCACCACGTTCTGATTTTCTGGAAAGTAGCGGCGACTCAGAAGGTAGCGGCCTCACAATAATTACCACCAAAGATGAAGACAGTAAGTAACGAACAAAATGGTTATTAAAAGTTGTTCAAAAATGAAAATTTTGAAGATGTCAAAAATTGCATAGAGGAAGGATATACTTCTGTGTGTTCAAATAAGGGTCGCTGCATCGACAATAAATGCGTTTGCCACTCCTTTGAAACCGAAGTCGACAACCAAACGATTTTCTATCGCCACACAGGAAGGTACTGTGAAGAATGTCCATACTGTAGAGCACAGAGGTGTCACCAGTACCTTCCATGTATCGAATGCAACTTATTCCAAAAGGGCGCCAATTGTAACCCTTATTGTCAATTTCAGTACGAAATAGTGAAAAAAGTCACCCGTAATGTAGACAGTGACGAAAAGTTTTGTGATATCGAAAACACAGACGGGTGCTTCTTCAGGTTCAAGTACCACTACAACTCTCAACACTCAGTGGTGGTTCAGTACGAAGAAGACATATTTTGCTTCGATGGGTACAAATGTAAGAAAGAAACGAGACCTTATATAGTTTACTTTATTGATTTGTAGTTCTAGTTCTAACGTTTGGAGCCGTAGTTGTTTATTTATTTGCACTAACAGGACTAGTACCAAGGATTTGTGGGTTGTCAAGACACACGAAAATATGCAAGAGTAGAACTTCGTTGCCGCTAGGACACGACGTGCTACGCTGTAGATTTTTTCGTTAATGTATTATTGTGTAATAAATTAGACTTCTACTTCGATGCCTTCAATGACAATCCCTGGAGCTACCTCGAACGTGACCATTTTTCCCACCAATTCCGTTTTGTCAAAGTCTTCAATAAGTCCATTCATCGTTGCTACCGTTTTTTCATTTTCTTTGTTTCTTTGGTTTTTGGCTTCTTCTTCTTGCTTTATTTTCTCATCAGTTTTTTCATTTTTGGCATCGTCGTCGTTTTCTTCTCGTGTCTTTTTCAACGAGTTCAGCGAATACACAGGTACATTTTCACTCTCCTTGACTGGTTCTTTCTTGAAGTTGGTTTTTCGCAACATTCCTTGAAAATTGAAGGGAGGATCGTCTTCAGACGTGTTCTTTTGGCCGATTTTTCGTAGTTCTGCAATAGGGTCTACAGCTTTGGGTTTATTCGCGGGTGGAGGTTTAATATAGTCGAAATCTTTATTGGCTGGTTGTGTGTCGCTATTCATCTTGGTTGTACTAGACTCATCTTTATTCTCATCCGTCGCTATGTTCATTGTTTCTTCTGTTATTTTCTTCAGTACTTGGTTTTCTTCCTCTTTTTCCTCTTTACTTACAAATTCCTCTACTACAATCTGGATGACATTTTCCGCTGCGTCTTCAACCTCTGGTTCTTCAGTCACATCTGGAACTTCCTCAAGAGGCGCCACAGGGTCTCTGCTGAATGGTACCTCAAGCAAACTGTCTTCATTCCGGGTCATCTCATCAAGTTTGATTGGCTGTGACGACACCAGTTCCCTCCAACGGTACGGCGAGTCCCACATTTCTTCTTTTTCTATGGAAGTTCTAGAAGGCACAAAGTCAACCTATGCACATTTATTTATTGAAGTAGTACCCTGAATTGGTAAGCAAATTGCACATCCCTGAAGTATCGTAGAAGGGTATTTCGTCCAAGCGGAACGGTATTTTTCGTAGTGGGAGTTTTGGGTCTTCCAACCAGTTGGCAACCTGTGCCTTGGAGTCAATGGATTCTAGTGGAACTTTAATACCGTTTTGTTGTAAGTTGTAGAAGACTCCGATGTTGTAAAGGTGCACCTACTATCAATATTAGTGGTCTGTATAATACAATGTGTAGTACCTGCTGAGAAAAGTTGTACATTTCTTGGAAACAGAAAGCCCGATAAAGTACCAGGACGTGGAAAAGGCTGCTTCGTCTCCACTTTTTGGCATAATCTCGAATAAAATTGCAAGTTTCTTCATCTAGAATTTTATAGTCTTTGGCGAAGTCTGGGTACGACTTTCGTATAGTGGATTCTCGGTACGCTACAAAACGACGTGAATGAGCAGAATTTTACAAAAAAGTTATACCAAACCTTTCTGGATGATAGCAGCTGCTTCTTCTTCGGTCATTCTACGTTCCTCTGGGTACTCACTTTTTTCGGTCACAGTTATTCGCTTCGCCACCAAACACTTGGCCAAGAACCTCCTCAAGATGCTTTGAATCTTGACAATCTTCTTCACTTGCGTTTCGTATAACCTGGCCAAGTACTCTTCGTGGTAGTACTTGAGAAAGACCTTCGATTTTCCGATACCCCAGCCTTCCATTTTGAGACGAACCAAAAGCAGTCGACAGTTTTCCCTATTCACATCCACAGCCTCGTTAAAATCGAACGCCAGAAACTGGTACCGCCGCAAGAACTCCTGGAACGGGATTCTGTGGGAGTAGCCCCACTGGCGCGCTTTGGCGGTTTCAGTCACCGCCAAAGCTCGAACTTGTTGCTTGACTAACTGGTAGTCAAAATTTTGTGGTTCGTTGGTTAAGTTAGTTCTAATGCATCGGACAAAGTGGGTACCACCAGAACCACTACCAATGGACAATTCTTTAAGTATTTCCAAACTTAGTGCTTTGAATGTTTGTATGCAGGTCCGCATGCGTCGGATTTGCGAGTACTGGTAGGTGGTGGCTTTATCCGACTGGAATTTGTACCGTCTGGTACTAGTTTCGTCATCGTCAAAAACGAGTTTCAAACTTCCAGTTTTGTCTAACTTGTTAGTGAAAAGCATCTTCACAGTGGGATTGTCAGACAAACGAAGAGTCTCTGTTACTTCTGGTGGAAGAAAATCTCGGTTTTTGTCAGGCATTTCGGCTGCGTAGTACGTCACTTTTCCGGTATAGTGAGAGACAGAAAAGTCAGAAGTACCGACAACGGCAATGAATTCTTTTGCGTTGTCTTGGAGACAATCAGTGATATATTTTGCGTCACGTCCTGTCTTAGAGGCATCATCTATCACACAAAAGAGACCTTCGGGTTTACCTAACAACTGATCTAGAGTTTTTTTATTGTCGTAGTAACCAAACGGTTGGTACTCCAACTCTTCCTCCTTGGTGTCTAAGTACTCCCAAGAGAAAAGTCTTTGCAAGTAGTGGTACTGCAGCTGCTCGTTGAAACAATTGACAAAAAGCTGCGCCAAGTGGTTGGTCCTTACACACTCAAACCCAAAGTAGTCGATAATTTGAACCGAGTACTTCTCTCCACTGAAACCGCGAATCAGAATAACCCCCACACTATACAACAACTTACAAAATTGCTACCCCAGCCTTCAACTTACTGTTGACCAAACCAACCAAATAGTCCACCAAGCGTGCGTATAAATTGTTAGCAAACACATCTCTGGCATCACGTGCTTCATCCACGGTACTTCCTTTCCTAACAGCAGTACCTCTACCAACGAAACAGTAGTTCGTAAGCGCCCATTCAAACTTCCTCGGGTCGATTTTCAACAACAACCCAATTTTCTCAATCGCATCAACATTTTCAACAACAGCACCTCGTGTTTCCGTTTCCTTGAAACGTACTTCCCCGGTGACCAAAATGGCAGCTACGATTGAGAAAATGGTGTCCATTTCGTCGTACCCTAGATCGAAGTCTTCAAAAATCTTTAATAATTTTTTGAACTTGGTCAAGTTTTGGTTTACGTTGAATTTAGGGCTGTTGGTGTTTGAGAGGGTGTCCACTCGCAAGTACCTGTATTGACGGTCGGGGTTGAGGTGGTACTGATCCAGTTTTTTGTTTTCGCGGAGACCGTCGTAGATGTAGTAGAGGAAGTGGTAGTTTCCTTGAAACCTGTAGGGGTTGGATTGAATTGACTACCAAAAAAGGGGTGACTTACATGTCGACCGATGACACTCTCCATTTTTCTAGTTGATAGACGTTGAAAACGGCACCACTTACTTTTCCGGTGGTACCGTATTTGATGTCGGTTTTGAAAACGCACCGGGTGGAGTAATTGTTGATGGGGGTTGAGGCGTGTGTTAACGAGTGGATGAGTTTAATACCACCTCTGATTCTCTCAAGGTTAATATTGTTGTTGTGACCCAGAAAAAGCAAGTGGTTTATTAAATGTAGGTAGTTTCTGGTCTTCCCAGAACCACTTTCTCCACCCAGTAGAATTTTTTGAGGAATTTGATGGTGAAGGGCGTACTGATAAGCACTGTCAGCAACCGCGTAGATGTGAGGGGAGTTGTCAGACCGTGATTTTAAACGGTACTTGTCGTGGTACTACAAAACGTGTTACATTATAGGCAACCCACTATACTCGTCGTTAAATTAAGTAGCATATACGTGACCACCAACTCTTACCGCGTCTCCAAAAATCTCTTTCTTTTCAAAGGGATTAAGTACCAGTAGTACGTCTCCCACGAAAGTGTGGAATAAACCACATTCCAGTCGAGCTTCCAACAATTTTAAGACGTTTTTCTCACTGATGTGATCTAGAGAAGCCAAATCTTCAATCAACATTGGCTCTAAATCACCGTCGTGTCCACATTTCAAAAAAGTTTCGATGATGGCGGTTTCGGGCTCGGATTTGGGTAAGTCGAGCTTATTTATATCATCGATTAGAGCTTTCATTTCAAGGGTTAGCTAAAAACGAAGTGACAAATATGAGTGGTACTAAATTTAAATAAGTACGTGGTAGTTGTTCTCTGGGATTTGTTGCAAAAACGGGTGGTCCAAAAGTTCTGTAACGTAAGGGCGATGTTCTGGGTTTTTGACCAAACATCTGAAATTGAGTTGTTTTTAATAACCAAACGAAAATGGGTACGTACTCGTCGATGAAGTCAATGTAACTTTCAGACCAGTTGCACGTCCTGTATAAAGTGGGTGGTGGGTTTGTGACTATTTGAAATAAAGCTCGAGTTGGGTGCATTGACTCGAACGGGGGTTTGCCATCCCCTAATTCTATCGCGGTGATCCCCAGCGACCACACATCCACTCTATTATCATACTTTTCCCTTTTTCGCCTACTTGAGATAATTTCAGGCGCCATCCAACACGCGGACCCAACAGTACCATCAGTTTTTCCCAATCTCTCCTCTAAAGTCGCCCCAAACCCAAAATCCACCAATTTCACCTCTCCACTCCCCGTCAACAAAATATTCCTCGCTTTGATATCCCTATGCAGCACACTCTTCTCGTGCAGGAACGCCACTCCCTGACAACAATAGCAGGTAAAACTACAACCAACAATTCATCAGGACTTTCTCATTTCTGACAAGCCAAGTGTTTAAATAGTATGTGTTTTGTCTGAGATCGAAGAGCATCGTATATCACTTTTATTTAAGTGAGTAGCACTTACGGACTTAAATATTCGCTTTTATCGCTATAAATTGCTCATAATTATAGTAATAAAGCAGGAGGTTTTGAGTAATTTATTGCTTACGTTTACAGGTCGAGCTGGAGAAGTATGCGGATAATTGGGATTGGGAAGAAGTGGAGGTTTTGCTGGGGCGGGATTGGCGGGACGGACATGGGTGTTGGGTGCGAATTTACTCACTTTGACTGTTTCTTTGAGGATGTAGGCGATGTGGTCTTCGGACATGCGGCGGTTTTGGGACAGGAGGCCGGTGACGAGGTCTAGGACGGGACCGCCTTGGCAAATCTGAAAAGTTTATTTGTTAATAATTAAAACAACATTGTACTGGGAAAAATACGATTAATCAATCTTTTTTTCCCAAAGATGTATTCAATCCAGTAAGAATGTTAACTTTGTATAAAAATGTTGATGAAAGAGATTAAAGAAATTAAATACCTATAGAAAGAACAAATAATGTGTAAGTTATTTACTTTTTGTTTTTTCCTTCCTCACTTTCCTGTTCTCTGAAATATAATCGCTTTGGAATTAGTCGCGCTTCATGGATGAGCGATTCGTTGTAACAACTTAACATATTTGTTTCTTTTTGTAGACACACTGTATACAAGAAATGACCTTTTGCCAACGGAAACTAAATCAATTTATAAGTTTTTGAATATAGTGACGTTATCTTGTTTTTTTTTTTTATTTAGAATTTAGGATTTCAACTCTAGTGTAGGTCAGAAAACAAGAAAATCATCATTGACAAAGTGGAAGATTTTGAAAAATTCTATGGAGAAAAAAATGAAAAAGTGGGGTAACGAGAAACTAAGCATTATCAAGAAAGGGATGAGAATAGAAAGTTTCCCCATAATTTTGGAATCACTGGAAAATCTAGTGGTGTTCTAGAAGAATTTCTAATTTCTACAAAAAAATTCTAGACTTTAAAAATATGGATCAAGTTCATTGTTAACAAAGAGGAACTCATAGTTTTTTGATAAAATTCTGGAACAATTGTAATTCATTAGTTACACTGGAGAAGAACAAAAGAGAGTGAAATTATTATCCTGGAAGGATTAATAGATCATTGGAAAGAAGATTCTTCCAAGGTGGTGAATTTACTGTTGGTTCTACTGAGATAGATTTTGAAGGTATCCATGGAAAAAACCAACGAAATCGCAATAAAAGAACAAGAAGCATAAATAGACGTTTAGTTCTAAAATTTAAGATTTAGACAATAAATTATCTAAAATCAATTGATTTATGGCGATTAGAAGAAAAGTAAGAATGACCAAAACACTCAGTCTTGGTCACAAGATTGTACAAGAAATCCACTTAACTTATAGGAATATTCTTTTTTGGTTATATAAAAAAAAATTCCACTCTAAAATCCGGTCACTTTAACACTGGAGACAGAATTAGAATTTGATAGATATAACAGAAGCAGAAGAGGAATAATCAGAAAAAGTGGATTAGTGAAACGTAGATGTAAAGGCTGGAGGGCAACGAAATAATCTGAGATTCTAGAACAATTTCATTTGATGACAAGAAAAAAATCTATAGAAGATTAACACTGAATAAAATAAGTTATATAATACAACCTAGAAAAGATTCTATGTCTCTTGTGTCAGAACTATAGAAGAATTAAAGAAATTTCGACTTCAGCCTCGAATTCCATTTGAAAAACTATGATAGTGATTACTTAAATTTTCGAAGATTTTTGAAAAATTCTTATCGAAAACTATAAACTGTAAGTAGATAATAAGAATATCCAGAAAGTTTCGTGAAGATTCTAGAATTTATTGTAGCCAATAGGCTAAGCAATCTCAGATTTTATAAGATCTTCATTTGATGAGGACAAAAAACAGAATTTGAACTAAGATTATTTATTACTCAAAAAAAAAATCTATTTAATGAAACTTTGGAAAGACACTATGAAGCTTCTGTTATCAGATCGGAAGAAATAGAGATATTTCGATTTTAACCAGAGATTTCATTTGGAGGAAGACTTTAATCTAAATTTCAAAAGATTTTAGAAGAATTCGAGATCTGAAAGAGTTAGAAGTTCTACCACTACTGAAGTTCAGAAAAGCAGAGTATTCAGTAAGCTGCGTGACGATTCTAGAATATATTGTAGATTATTAGGCTGGGCAATCTGAGATTTTACAAGATCTTCATCTGATGAAGAGAAAAAAAAAGTCTTTGGTTTAAGATTAATATTGAAGAAAAATCTATGTAATGAGACCTCGGAAAGACAATAAGAGGCTTCTGTTATAAGATTAGAAGAAATCGAAATATTTCGACTCTAGCGTGAGATTTCATTTGGAGGAAGAATTTAATCTAAATTTGAAAAGATTTTGGAAGAATTTTTTTTGGAGATCTGAAAGAGTTAGAAGTTCTACCACTATTGAAGTTCAGAAAAGCAGAGTATTCAGTAAGCTGCGTGAAGATTCTAGAATATATTGTAGATTATTAGGCTGAGCAATCTGAGATTTTAGAAGATCTTCATCTGATGAAGAGAAAAAAAAGACTTTGGTTTAAGATTAATACCGAAGAAAAATCTAAGTAATGAAACCTCGGAAAGACAATAAGACGCTTCTGTTATAAGATCAGAAGAAATAGAGATATTTCGATTCTAGCGTGAGATTCCATTTGGAGGAAGAATTTAATCTAAATTTCAAAAGATTTTGGAAAAATTCTTTTCGAGATCTGAAAGAGTTAGAAGTTCTACCGCTACTGAAGTTCCGAAAAGCAGAGTATTCAGTAAGCTTCGTGAAGATTCTAGAATAAATTGCAGACAATAATCTAAGCAATCTGAGATTTCAAAAGATTTTCATTTGATGAAGAGAAAAAATAGAATTTTGTCTAAGATTAATACTGAAGAAAAAATCTATGTAGTGAGATCTCGGAAACACAGGCTTCTGTTATAAGATCAGAAGAAATAGAAACATTTCAACTCTAGCGTGATATTCTATTTAGAGTAAGAATTTAATCTAAATTTCAAAAGATTTTAGAATACTTCTTTTCCAGAACTTAAAAAGCTCGAAGGACTACCACACCACTAATGTCCAGAAAAGAAAAGAATTCAGAAAATTTCGTGAAGATTCGAGAATATATTGCAGACAATAAAATAAGCATTTCGAGATTTTAGAAGATCTTCAATTGATGAAGAAAAAAGTCTGCGATTAATGCGGCAAAAAAAATCTATGTAATGAGACTTCGGAAAGTTATTAAGAGACTTCTATTATACGATCAGAAGAAGTAGAGAAATGTCTCTCTTTTCTAGGACCTAAAGAGAAAAGAGAAAAAGAAAGCTTCTGAATGTTCTAGAATATAACGCAGGTAACAGATTATTCTAAGTCAAGGCTATCCATGATTTTAGAAGAGCTTCATTTGATGAAGAGAAAAACAGATTTTGGTCTAATATTAATACTGAACAAAAATTTTTGTAGTGAGATCTCGGAAAGACACTAAGAGGCTTCTATTATAAAATGAAAAGAAATAGAAACATTTCAACTCTAGCGTGAGATTCTATTTGGAGGAAGAATTTAATCTAAATTTCAAAAGATTTTAGAAGACTTGTTTTCCAGAACATAAAAAGCTAGAAGTACTATCACACCACTAAAGTCCAGAAATGAAAAGGATTCAGAAAGCTTCGTGAAGACTCGAGAATATACTGTAGACAATAAAATAAGCAGTCTTGATGAGGAAAAAATCTACGATTGATAATTCAGAAAAATGTATGTAATGAGACTTCGGAAAGACACTAAAAAACTTCTTTTATAAGATCAGAGGAAGCAGAGAAATATGTCTCTTTTCTAGAACTTAAAGAGAGTAGAAGTATATTCAGAAAGCTTGGTGAATGTTCTAGGATATAACGCAGGTTACAGATTATAATCAAGGCAATTCATGATTTTAGAAGAGCTTCATTTGATGAAGAGAAAGAAATCGAATTGTGGATTTCGACGTGATGATTCTAAAAATGTAGTGTTCGTGGTTTCGGGGCAAGATTTTAGAAATTTTTCACTTGAAAACCTATTTTTCAAAAAATCTAAAAATCCGTCAAATTTCAATGTGCGATTCTGGAAAAATAGTAGTTTATCGAAAAAATAAGGCCGAAAATAACCTCTAGAAGTCTAAAATTACAAGAAATTCTCTTCGGTTAAATTTTAAAGGTGATTAAAAAGTTTCGAAATTTTCCTAAGGAAAACTAAAAAATTTTGATTTCAAAAAAATTGACGAAAAATTCACAAAAAAAAATTCTGGAAATGGATTTCGACGTGTTGATTCTAAAAATGTAGTGTTTGTGGTCTCCGAGCAAGATTTTAGAAATTTTTGACTTAAAAATCAATTTTTGAAAAAATCTAAAAATTACAATATATATTTCAGTATTCGATTGTTGAAAAATGGTAGATGTTTGGGAAAAATTGACACCGAAAGTGACTTCTAGAGATCGAAAATTACAAGAAAATGTCGGTAGTTAAATTTCGAGGGTGGTCAAAAAATTCCGAAACTTTCCTAAGAATTTTGAAAAATTATGGTTTTAAAAAAGCTGACGAAAAATTCACAAAAAATTATGGAATATAAATTTCAATGTGCTATTTCCAAACATACAATATGCTATAGCCCCGGGTCAAGATTTTAGAAATATTTAGTTTGAAAATCAATTTTTCAAAAAAATCCAAAAAACTCATGTTTATGTGTACGATTCTGGAAAAATCGTTGGAATTGTCAATGAAGTGACACTGAAAGCAACTACTAGAAGTCGAAAAAAATATCTTCAATTAAGTTTTGAAAATGGTTGAAAATTCCGAAATTTTCAGATTGAAAAATTTTGATTTTAAAAATGTTTCTTAAAAATCCGGAAAAATTCTGGAACGTAGATTCCGACGTGCTGATTCCAATAATACACAGTGTTTGTGGTTTCGGGACAAGGTTTTAGAAATATTCACTTTAAAAATAATTTTTTAAGAAATCCCAAAAACTGTCATATTTCAATGGACAATTCTAAAGAAATGGTAGAAATTATCGAAAAAACTGAGGCCGAAAGTAACTTCTGGAGGATGAAAATGACAAGAAATCGTCTTTGGTTGAATTTTGAAGCTGGTCGAAAAATTCCAAAATATTCCTAAGAGGGAGCAATTGAAAAATTTTGATTTCATAAAAGTTGCCAAAAAATTCGGAAACAAAAATCTGGAATGTGGATTTTGACGTGAGAATTCTAAAACAATAGTGTTTGTGGTCTCGGGGCAAGATTTTAGAAATTTTTGACTTGAAAATCGATTTTTGAAACAAATATTCGTTTCGAAAATCTTCTCTTTTAGACAAAAATTCACTGCACCATTCTAGAAAATAAATAGTGAGAAGTTATCGAAGATTAATACTGACGAAAATAGCTAAGCAAGGTTTCGGAAAGATACTGAGGTTTTTACAGATAGAGAAATTTCTAGTCTAGTGTGAAATTCAGAAGATTTTAGAAGAACTCTTTTCCAAAAACTAAAAGAACTAGAAGTATGGCGAACTTGAGGAAGCAGATTTTTGGAGTAAATAAAACAAGAAATTGTGGTAATGAAAGACAGTAAAATATTACCTCCATGACAAACCACAGTTCGTCTTCTTTCCGGTAAACCCCATAAAAATCTGGCAGATTCCCATGACTACTCAAATCCCGTAAAACCTTGTACTCTTGTTCAACGAAAACCGTCGTGTTCTCGCTCAACTTCTGAACTTTCACAGCGACTTTTTTATTGCTGGCTTCTGAATCCGTGGCGGCAAAAACCCTCCCGAAAGCTCCACACCCCAAACAGTCTTCCAACCCATATCGGTCCTTCGGTTCCGGGAATCCATCAAACGCACCTTTCTTCAGCGCCATCCTCGCTCGAATACTTTTTCAATATTTTCCAAAAAAGGCAGCCGTGTCAGTCGCCTGTCTCCAGCATGGAATGCCTGTAATTAAGAAATCTCTCCGTTTAATTGGAGACACGTAATGCACATGAGGGAATTCAAACCTGACGGTCTACATAATAACATGTTAACTTAACAAATTAGTCGCTAATTAAATCTCTTAAATGGCCCTCGCCGAGAAACTCGGCAATTAAGCTAATTAAAATTTATTGTTAATTACGTTTTTATACAAACATAACGACACCAGATCGAAGCACTGACTATTTGTGAATAATTAATGGACGGGCCGTCGTGCAGTCGAAGAAGCCTTACGGTAATTAGATTAGGCCAAATCGGCCTCGACCTGGCCTACATTAATTACCCCATCGGCCACATAAATCGAATTAAAATTCTTCGGATGATGTTCGGATTCGAGAGATGTCGCCAGCATTAATTTGAGAATTATGGTCCGGTGCGGTCGCTGGCTTTTTGTTTAGCAGCATGTAACGTATGTTTGTTTTTGAAATTCTGGTTTGTTGCGATACCGGTGCGCGTTTGTCGGCTTGTAAGTAAGATAATTCAGCTATTTGTCGTCGAAGCGCTCGCCGACAACTTTCAGGGAGCCATTTTCAATAAATCTATTGCGCTGCTAGAAGTGGAGGTGAGTGATGGATGTAATTTTAAAAGCCCCTGTGCAGCATCTAAAACATGGACGAGATGGTAGATTTTTTTAGGGACGTGTGATCCTCGGAAGATCGCTTAATGCTTTTCCCGAATACAGCAAGATTTTGATTACAACTGTCGAAATCGTTGTTTATGTATTTGGTATTTTGCTCCTTATCCCAGGGGAAAACAGTCGATTGAATGGTGAATGCTCTTTAAACGTTATAAAATATCATATATTTTGCTTGTGGTTTATGAATCAGCCTTGGATTTTCCCCAAAAAATTAAAATTTTGTCCACTTGTTGGCATAGCGATGGATTAAATTACGAGATTCTTCTCCTATAATATTATTAATAAAATCCTCTTCTACAAAGTCAGAAGGTACGTATTTAAAAAAAAAGTGGTAATTAAATTTTTGATCCTGTGTTCAAGGAAATTGATTTAATAGATATAGACGCCACTCCATCTGGATTAAACAAACACGAAGAAGTTGTTCAAGGTACGTTTAAATTATTATTATTGGATCTAATACTTCTGATCTAGAAATGGAGAGCGAGGAACTAATTCTAGCAGAAATGGAAGACTCACCACGTTCTGATTTTCTGGAAAGTAGCGGCGACTCAGAAGGTAGCGGCCTCACAATAATTACCACCAAAGATGAAGACAGTAAGTAATGAAAAAAATTATTAAGTTGTTCAAAAATGAAAATTTTAAAGATGTCAAAAATTGCATAGAAGAAGGATATACTTCTGTGTGTTCAAATAAGGGTCGCTGCATTGACAACAAATGCGTTTGCCACTCCTTTGAAACCGAAGTCGATAACCAAACGATTTTCTATCGCCACACTGGACGGTACTGCGAAGAATGTCCATATTGTAGGGCACAGACCTGCCACCAGTACCTTCCATGTATCGAATGCAACTTATTCCAAAAAGGCGCCAACTGTAACCCTTATTGTCAATTTCAGTACGAAATAGTGAAAAAAGTCACCCGTAATGTAGACAGTGACGAAAAGTTCTGTGATATCGAAAACACAGACGGGTGCTTCTTCAGGTTCAAGTACCACTACAACTCTCAACACTCAGTGGTGGTTCAGTACGAAGAAGACATATTTTGCTTCGATGGGTACAAATGTAAGAAAGAAACGAGATCTTATATAGTCTACTTTATTGATTTGTAGTTCTAGTTCTAACGTTTGGAGCCGTAGTTGTTCATTTATTTGCACTATCAGGACTAGTACCAAGGATTTGTGGGTTGTCAAGACACACGAAAATATGCAACAATAGAGATGTAGATTTTTTCGTTAGTGTATTATTGAGTAATAAATTAGACTTCTACTTCGATGCCTTCAATGACAATCCCTGGAGCTATCTCGAACGTGACCATTCTTCCTACCAATTCCGTTTTGTCAACGTCTTCAATAAGTCCATTCATCGTTGCTACCGTTTTTTCATCTTCTTTGTTTTTTCATTTTTGGCATCGTCGTCGTTTTCTTCTCGTGTCTTTTTCAACGAGTTCAGCGAATACACAGGTACATTTTCACTCTCCTTGACTGGTTTTTTCTTGAAGTTGGTTTTTCGTAACATTCCTTGAAAACTGAAGGGAGGATTGTCCTCAGACATGTTCTTTTGGCCGATTTTTCGTAGTTCTGCAATAGGATCTACAGACTTGGGTTTATTCGTGGGTGAAGGTTTAATATAGTCGAAATCTTTATTGGCTGGTTGTGTATCGCTATTCATCTTGGTTGTAATAGACTCATCTTTATTCTCATCCGTCACCATGTTCATTGTTTCTTCTGTTATTTTCTTCAGTACTTGGTTTTCTTCCTCTTTTTCCTCTTTACTTACAAATTCCTCTACTACAATCTGGATGACATTTTCCGTCGCGTCTTCAACCTCTGGTTCCTCAGTGACACCTGGAACTTCCTCAAGAGGTACCACAGGGTCTCTGCTGAATGGTACCTCAAGCAAACTTGCTTCATTTCGGGCCATCTCTTCAAGTTCGATTGGTTGTGACGACACCAGTTCCCTCCAACGGTACGGCGAGTCCCACATTTCTTCTTTTTCTATGGAAGTTCTAGAAGGCACAAAGTCAACCTATGCACATTTATTTATTGAAGTAGTACCCTGAATTGGTAAGCAAATTGCACATCCCTGAAGTACCGTAGAAGGGTATTTCGTCCAAGCGGAACGGTATTTTTCGTAGTGGGAGTTTTGGGTCTTCCAACCAGTTGGCAACCTGTGCCTTGGAGTCAATGGATTCTAGTGGAACTTGAGTACCGTTTTCTTGTAGGTTGTAGAAGACTCCGATGTTGTAAAGGTGCACCTACTATGAATATTAGTGGTCTGTGCAATACAATGTGTAGTACCTGCTGAGAAAAGTTGTACATTTCTTGGAAATAGAAAGCCCGATAAAGTACCAGGACGTGGAAAACGCTGCTTCGTCTCCACTTTTTGGCGTAATCCCGAATAAAATTACAAGTTTCTTCATCTAGAATTTTATAGTCTTTGGCGAAGTCTGGGTACGACTTTCGTATAGTGGATTCTCGGTACGCTACAAAGCGACGTGAATGAGCAGAATTTTACAAAAAGTTAAACCAAACCTTTCTGGATGATAGCAGCTGCTTCTTCTTCGGTCATTCTACGTTCCTCTTGGTACTCACTTTTTTCGGTCACAGTTATTCGCTTCGCCACCAAACACTTGGCCAAGAACCTCCTCAAGATACTCTGAATCTTGACAATCTTCTTCACTTGCGTTTCGTATAACCTGGCCAAGTACTCTTCGTGGTAGTACTTGAGAAAGACCTTCGATTTTCCGATACCCCAACCCTCCATTTTGAGTCGAACCAAAAGCAGTCGACAGTTTTCCTTAGTCACATCCACGGCCTCGTTAAAATCGAACGCCAGAAACTGGTACCGTCGCAAGAACTCCTGGAACGGGATTCTATGGGAGTAGCCCCACTGGCGTGCTTTGGCGGTTTCAGTCACCGCCAAAGCTCGAACTTGTTGCTTCACTAACTGGTAGTCAAAATTTTGTAGTTCGTTGGTTAAGTTAGTTGTATAAGAAATGGGTAACACCGGAACCACTACTAATGGTCAGTTCTTTAAGAATTCCCAAACTCAGTGCTTGGAATGTTTGTATGCAGGTCCGCATGCGTCGGATTTGCGAGCACTGGTAGGTGGTGGCCTTATCCGACTGGAATTTGTACCGTCTGGTACTAGTTTCGTCATTGTCAAAAACGAGTTTCAAATTTCCAGTTTTGTCTAACTTGTTAGTGAAAAGCATCTTGACAGTGGGGTTGTCAGACAAACGAAGAGTCTCTGTTACTTCTGGTGGAAGAAAATTTCGGTTTTTGTCAGGCATTTCGCCTGTATAGTACGTCACTTTTCAGGTATAGTGAGAGACGGAAAAGTCGGAAGTACCAACAGCGGTAATGAATTCTTTTGCGTTGTCTTGGAGACAATCAGTGATATATTTTGCGTCACGTCCTGTCTTAGAGGCATCATCTATCACACAAAAGAGACCTTCGGGTTTGCCTAACAACTGATCTAGAGTTTTTTTATTGTCGTAGTAACCAAACGGTTGGTACTCCAGCTCTTCCTCCTTGGTGTCTAAGTACTCTCAAGAGAAACGTCTTTGCAAGTAGTGGTACTGCAACTGCTCGTTGAAACAATTGACAAAAAGCTGCGCTAAGTGGTTGGTCCTTACACACTCAAACCCAAAGTAGTCGATAATTTCAACCGAGTACTTCTCTCCACTGAAACCCCGAATCAGAATATCCCCCACACTATAAAACAACTTACAAAATTGCTACCCCGGCAGACACCAGACCTTACTGTCCAAACCAAACCAACCAAATAGTCCAAACACATCTCTGGCATCACGTGCTTCATCCACGGTACTTCGTTTCCTAACAGCAGTACCTCTACCAACGAAACAGTAGTTCGTAAGCGCCCATTCAAACTTCCTCGGGTCGATTTTCAACAACAACCCAATTTTCTCAATTGCGTCTACATTTTCAACAACAGCACCTCGTGTTTCCGTTTCCTGGAAACGTACTTCCCCGGTGACCAAAATGGCAGCTACGATTGAGAAAATGGTGTCCATTTCGTCGTACCCTAGGTCGAAGCCTTCAAAAATTTTTAGCAATTTTTTGAACTTGGTCAAGTTTTGGTTTACCTTGAATTTAGGGCTGTTGGTGTTTGAGAGGGTGTCCACTCGCAAGTACCCGTATAGACGATCGGGGTTGAGGTGGTACTGATCGAGTTTTTGTTTTCGCGGAGATCGTCGTAGATGTAGTAGAGGAAGCGGTGGTTCCTTTGAAACGTGTGGAATTGAATTGACTATCAAAGAAGGGGTGACTTACTTGTCGACTGATGACACTTTCCATTTTTCTAGTTGATAGACGTTGAAAACGGCACCACTTGCTTTTCAGGTGGTACCGTATTTGATGTCGGTTTTGCTAACGCACCGGGTGGAGTAATTGTTGATGGGGGTTGAGGCGTGTGTTAACGAGTGGATGAGTTTAATGCCACCCCAGATTCTCTCAAGGTTAATATTATTCTGACCCAGAAAAAGCAAATGGTTATTAAATGTAGGTAGTTCCTAGTCTTCCCAGAACCACTTTCTCCACCCAGTAGAATTTTTTTGAGGAATTTGATGGTGAAGGGCGTACTGATAAGCACTGTCAGCAAGCGCGTATATGTGAGGGGAGTTGTCAAACCGTGATTTTAATCGGTACTTTTCGTCGTACGACAAAAACGTGTTATAATGTAAGCAGCCCACTATACTCTTTGTACAATTTCGACCAATTTTGGCCATTTTCTAAACTTAACTGACACATGTTCTTGTAGATTTCGAGCTCTAGAAGTCACTTCCGGCCTCGTTCGTTCAATAACGCCAACCGTTTTTCCATAATCACCCATTGAAATATCGCATTTTTTGAAATTTAAAAAAAATTTGAATTTAAAATCGGATATTTGGAACAAAATGCCCCGTGGTCATAAACGTGCTATATTTTTGTAATTACCATGTTGAGATCTACATTGCACAATTTTTTGGGGATTTTTAAACAACTTTTTCAAAAGTGAAATTTTTCCAATAAGTAGGGGCGGGTGGGCGGGGCTAGTACTTGCTAAGATAAGACTGATTTTGGCGAATGACATACCTTCTAAGAAAATAAAGGGCGGGTGGGCGGGGCTAGTTCTTGTTAAGATAAGACTAATTTTAGCAAATGACGTATCTTCTGAGAAAATAAAGGGGGTAAACGAATAAATTTTTATTAGATTTCAGAGCAAAATACAAAAAAGTGGGTCTTCACAATATTATGGCTCATTTGAACGTCTTCGTCCCAACTCTAAAGTACTCATAATTTTTTTTATTTTGAATTTAAAATTGAATGTTTGAAAAATATTGATCCAGAAACATAACACGCTATATTTTTGGAATTGGCACGTCGAGGTCTATATCCCAGAATTTTTGGTGGATTTTCAGACAACTTTTTCAAAATTTCGAAAAGTACCACCAAAACACCCCCAATAAAACTCCTTCCAACGTCAACATTCTGGTTTATTCCACGCTTACAATTACAAGGTAATACTGTTGCACCTTACACGTCTAGACTAATTTACATCAGTTCGAATAAATTACAGTTACAATACAACCGCATCGCGCTACAAGCGCGCTCCGGTCCTGAGTGTCCATTGCGAGAAATTACAAGTTACAGATTATTTACAGATGGTAACCCACTCCTCCACTGTACAGTTCTCACACTCCACGTCACAACACCAGTGGAACCTGCAGTTGCAGGCTTGGGTCCTCCTTTGCTTGATCATGTTGTAGCCCCTTCCGCAGCAGAGGCTCGAGCAGCTGCCTTCTCCCGTGTGCGTTCTGTTGCAGTACCGGCCGCTGGTACCCGGGACGTCGAAGGTTCGGTCGCTGTCGCAGAAATTTGGCGAGGTCTCGTAGAAGAGCAAGTCGTTGCGAAGGCCTCGTTTGCGCTTCGGCTTGTAGGGTGTCCACTGCTTCAGTCTTGTGCGCTGCTTCCGCTTTTTTTGGTTCGGTCTGCTAACACAAACAAGAAAAATCATGTTCTATTTTAGTAATTTAATAATAAATTAATTACTTGTTCTTTTGAAGATCCCTATTCACCAGATTCGACTGGTACACCAGGACTGCCTGCCTGAACTTCTCCTTCAGCGCTCTCCCAACCACTCTGATATCCGGGACGGCCCTCCAGCACGTCTTGAACTCGCACGCCCCCGACACTCCGTGACACTTACACTTCTTCTGCATGTTCTCCGCGACCACCTGCAAAACCAACAAACACGATGTCACCACAGCTCATATAAAGAACGGAGTTTGGGCAAGTTTTTAACATTTTAAGTATTTTATTGTTAAAAGAGGAGTATGTATCTTACAAAAAGACAGTGAAATGATAAGCCCCGCCCAGCCGCCCTCATCTCAGTTGTGATTATTTTTTTATTCCTCGTCAGACGAGAGGCGGAGCTTAATTGAAAAATTTATATTTCTTTATAAGGAATTAACGTGAAACATGTTTGAAGTATGATGTTGTTGAAAGAAAACTATACATATTTAGAAAAAGAAGCCGAAGATTATGCCCCACCCACCCGCCCGATCCCAATTGTAATCAATTTTTTATTCGTTGTGAGAATAGAGGGCGGTACTTAATAATAAACTTTACTTTTGGGAGAATAAAATTATATCGTTACTTTTACGTAAAATAGTCCATTTTCAACAATACTGTAATACCACAAACATGCTTTTCTTGGTAATTTCTTATACAGCAATATAGACTTTGCAACTAAACTCCACCCCCTGGGCTCACAACGAATAGAAAAATATATAAAGTTAGTCCTTTTCCTAATTCGAGCCCCCTGAGTAAGAATCAGTGACCAAAAAATTATATAAAGAGCTCTAAGACTGATTTTGGATTTTGGCAGATGGCATACCTCCTAAGAAGATAAAGGGTGGGTGGGCGGGGCTAGTTCTTGCTAAGATAAAACTAATTTTGGCAGATTACATAATTTCTAAGAAAATAAAGGGCGGGTGGGCGGGGCTAGTACTCGCCAAGATAAGACTGATTTTGGCAGATGACACTCTCTAAGATGTTTAGGATCCTTATTAACTGAAAGATCTTTAAAAAGCCTATTTATGATTTTTAAAGTTTTTATGATTTTTAGAACTTTCAGTATATCAAGTATCTCTAGAATCTCCACGATATCTGTGATTTATAGAACCCTAAAATTTTTGGGGACCGTAAGATACTGTAAGGTTTCTTTTGAAGATCTTTCAAAGTTTACTTTAGAGTTTGCAAGATCTTTTGGGTCTTTACGATCTTCTCAGGTTTTTAAGAAATGTAAAATCTTTTTGATGTTGTTAATATCTTTAGAATCTCTAAGATCTTCAAGGTTTTTAAAAGGTCTGTTTAGGATCTGTAGAATCTTTGGTAATCTCTAGAATGTCTAGATCTTCATTATTTTCAAGATTTGTAAAAGATCTATTTAAGATCTATAAGGTCTTTAGGGTGTTCAAAATGTGTAGTATATTAAGTAACTCTAGGATCTTTAGCATTTTTACGATTTTTAAGATCCAGAATTCTTTTATATTTTTGGGAATTTTAACATAATTGTAAGGTTTCTTTTAGCGTTTTTAAGGTCTTTGGGCTTAGAACCTTTAGAATATTTCCAGAATCTTTGTATCTTTAGAACCTTCAAAATCTTTTAAAACTTTATAGACTTTAGAACTTTTACATACGTTTTGAGTTTTAGGATCTTTGGAATTTGTAAAATTTTTGTGATTCTTAATTGTTTTGAGGGTTTTCATATCTTTGTTATTCAAATAACTTCAGAATTTCTAGAATGTCTAAAATCCTCATGGTCTTTAAGATCTTTAAGAGATCAACATAGGACCTATAAGATCTTTAGGTTTTTAGAATCTTTGGTATACCTAGAATCTTCACAAGTTCCGTGATTTCTAAGATACAGGTATCTTTTATATTTTTGGGATACTTTAAGATCATTTTAAGGCTTCGTGTTATGGTTTTCAAGAGTTTATTTTAGAATTTTCGGGATATTTGGAGTCTTTACTATCTTTTCAGATTTTTTAAGAGTATAAAATGTTTAGGATATTTCCAGGATGTTTAAATCTTTAGAATTTTCGAATTCTTTTATAACTTTACAGATTTTAGAAAATTTAAAGTCATTTTAATCTCTAGGATTTTTAAGATGGTTAACTTTGTTGTGATTTTTAGGATCCAGAAATGTTTCGAATTTGTGGAAATTTTGAGATACTTTTAACTGAATATTAGCGTTTTTAAGTGTTTATTTTAGGATTCGCGGGACCTTTTGGGACTTTACTATCACTTCGGGTTTTTTAAGAGCTTAGAACATTTAGGATATTTCCAGGATCTTTGTATTTTTAGAATCTTTGAAATCTTTCAAAACCTTATAGGCTTTAGAACTTTCAGAGTCGTTTCGATTTTTAGGATCTTTAGGATTTTTAAGATTTTCAGATCTTTGGGATTTTTGGTATCTTTGTGTGATTCAAATCTCCAGAATGTCTAAGACCTTTCTTATCTTCAAGATCTTTAAAAGGTCTATTTAGGATCTTTAAGGCCTTTAGGTTTGTTTGAAATCTTTGCTATATTTCTAGAATCTCCACGATTTCTGTGATTTATAGGTCCGTAAAATTTTTGATATTTTTGGGGACCGTAAGATATTGTAAGGTTTCTTACGAAGGTCTTTCAAGATCTTTTGGGTCTTTACTATCTTCTCAGGTTTTTTAGAAATTTAGAATCTTCTTGATGTTGTTAATATCTTTAGAATCTCTAAGATTTTCAAGATCTTTAAAAGGTCTGTAGAATCTTTGATAATTTCTAGGATGTCTAGATTATTTTCAAGATCTGTAAAAGATCTATTTAGGATCTATAAGGTCTTTAAGGTGTTCAAAATCTTTAGTACATTAAGTATTTCTAGGATTTCTAGGATGGAGGAATTTTTATATTTTTGGGAAATTTAAGATACTTTTAAGGTTTCTTATTAGCGTTTTTAAGAGTTTATTTTAAGATTCACGGGATCGTTTGGGTCTTTGGGCTTAGGACCTTTAGAATATTTCCAGAATCTTTGTATCTTTAAAACCTTTGAAATCTTTCAAAACTTTATAGACTTTAGAACTTTTACAGCGATTTTGACCTTTAGGATCTTTGGGATTTGTAAGATTTTTGTGATTCTTAATTCTTTTGAGGTTTTTCATATCTTTGTTATTCAAATAACTTCAGAATGTCTAGAATGTCTAGGATCCTCATTATCTTCAAGATCTTTAAGAGATCTGCATAGAACCTATAAGGTCTTTAGGGTTTTTAGAATCTTTGGTATATCTAGAATCTTTACGAGTTTCATGATTTCTAAGATCCAGGTATCTTTAATATTTTTGGCATACTTTAAGATCATTTTAATATTTCTTGTTATGGTTTTCAAGAGTTTATTTTAGAATTTTCAGGATCTTTCGAGTCTTTACTATCTTTTCACATTTTCAAAAATATTTAGGATATTTCCAGGATCTTTAAATCCTTAGAATTTTCGAATTTTTTTATAACTTAAAGGAAGATGTTTAAATTTGTTGTGATGTTTAGATCTTTGAGGTTTTTGGTATGTTTGTGATTTTTGATATTGCTAATATCTTTAGAATCTTTAGAATCTTTGGTATATCAAATATCTCTAGAATTTTCAGGAATTTTACGATTTATAGGATTCAGAAATGCTTCGTATTTGTGAGAACTTTGAGATACTTTTAAGGTATCTTATTAGCGTCTTTAAGAGTTTATTTTAGGTTTCGTGGGATCTTTTGGGTCTTTACCATCACTTCGGGTTTTTTAAGAGCTTAGCACATTTAGGATATTTCCAGGATATTTGTATTTTTAGAATCTTTGAAATATTTCAAAACTTTATAGGCTTTAGAACTTTCAGAGTCGTTTTGATTTTTAGGATCTTTGGGATTTTTAAGATTTTCAGATCTTTGGGATTTTTGGTATCTTTGTGTGATTCAAATATCTCCAGAATCTCTAGAATGTCTAGGAACTTTATTATCTTCAAGATCTTTAAAAGGTCTATTTAGGATCTTTAAAGCCTTTAGGTTTGTTGGAAATCTTTGCTATATCAAGTATCTCTAGAATCTCTACGATTTCTGGGGTTTGTAGGATCGTAAAATCTTTTATAATTTATGGGACCGTAAGATATTGTAAGGTTTCAATATCTTTTGGGTCTTTACAATCTTCTCAGGTTTTTTAGAAATTTAAAATCTTCTTAATGTCATTAATATCTTTAGAATCTCTAAGATCTTCAAGATTTTTAAAAGGTCTGTTTAGGATCTTTAGAATCTTTGGTAATCTCGAGGATATCTAGATCTTCATTATTTTCAAGATTTGTAAAAGATCTATTTAGGATCTATAAGGTCTTTAAGGTTTTCAAAATCTTTACATTTTAGTACATTAAGTAAATCTAGGATCTTTAGAATTTTTACGATTTCTAGGATCCAGAAATTTTTACATTTTTGGGAATTTTAATATAATTTTAAAGTTTCTTATTGGCGTTTTTAAGAGTTTATTTTAAGATTCACGGGATCTTTTGGGTCTTTGGGATTTAGAACCTTTAGAATATTTGCAGAATCTTTAAAACCTTTGAAATCTTTCAAAACTTTATAGACTTTAGAACTTTTACAGTCGTTTTGATCTTTGGGATCTTTGGGATTTCTAAGATTTCTGTGATTCTTAATTCTTTTGAGGTTTTTGTATCTTTGTTGTTCAAATAACTTCAGAATTTGTAGATTGTCCAGGATCCTCTTTAAGAAATCTACAAGGTCTTTAGGGTTTATAGAATCTTAGGCATATCTAGAATCTTCACGAGTTCCATGATTTCTAATATCCAGGTATCTTTTATATTTTTGGCATACTTTAAGATCATTTTAAGGTTTCTTGTTATGGTTTTCAAGAGTTTACTTTAGAATTTTCAGGATCTTTCGAGTCTTTACTATCTTTTCAGATTTTTTAAGAGCTTACAATCTTCAGGATATTTCCAGGATCTTTAGATCTTTAGAATTTTCGAATTCTTTTATAACTTTAAGCATTTTAGAAAATTTTAAGTTGTTTTAATCTCTAGGATTTTTAAGATGTTTACGTTTGTTGTGATTTTTAGGATCCAAAAATTCTTTGTATTTGTGGGAATTTTGAGATACTTTTAAGGTATCTTATTAGCGTTTTTAAAAGTAAGATATTGTAAGGTTTCTTATGAAGGTCTTTCAATATCTTTCGGGTCTTTACTATCTGCTCAGGTTTTTTAGAAATTTAAAATCTTCTTGATCTCTAGAATCTCTAAGATCTTCAAGATCTTTAGAATCTTTGGTACTTTTTAGGATGTCTAGATCTCCATTATTTTCAAGATTTGTAAAAGATCTATAAAGTCTTTAGGGTGTTCAAAATCTTTAGTACATTAAGTAACTCTAGGATCTTTAAAATTTTTACGATTTCTAGGATACAGGAATTTTTTATATTCTTGGAAAATTTAAGATACTTTCAAGGACTTTTAAGAGTATATTTTACGATTTGCAGAATCTTTCGAGTCTGTATTATTTTCTCAGGCTTCTTAAGAGCTTAGAATCGTAGGATAATTGCCAGATCCTTGAATCTTTGAGGTTTTTGGTATCTTTGTGACTTAAATATTTTCATGATCTTCGATATTGTTAATATCTTTAGAATCTCTAAGACGTCGATGATCCTTATTATTTTCAAGATGTTCAAGAGTCTATTTAGATAGAATCTTTAAAGTCTTTAGGATTTTTAGAATATTTGTTATATCAAATATCTCTGGAATCCTCAGGAATTCTACCATTTCTAGAATCCAGAAATTTTTTACTGAGGGTTTATAGAAACGGTTAAATATCTTAAGAATCAACTGCAAAAAAAAATCTCTTCTCCGTTTCTATACATTCTTTTACCCATTTACCCCAGAATCAGCTTTTAGTTATACTTATTATAACATGGGCCCTTTAACAGCGCACTGCGTGCGGCGGCGGAAGCAGCACGCGTCTTCGTCTACCTGCTATGTAATTAAAAGAGTCGGATGGTCGTCTGCGAACGCACGTGTTTTATTTTGGTGTTGCGTGTTATTTAGGAGTGTTTTCGCTCGGAGGGCACGAACAATGGCCAGGAATGTGGAATAGAGATATAGTGACCGTATATCAAGCCGGCAACAAAACAGTTAATGAGAAGATCGGCGCGTGTGGTCCATAATAATCATAATAACACGAGAGCAGCGATGGCGGCCCTTTGTCAAGGGGACTAGGCGGGGTTTTGGACGTCACGGACGTCATTAGAATGTACAGGCGCTTGGACGTGGGGTCCGGCGCGGCTACCGGTAGACTGAAGAAACCACGGCTTTGGATTTTTCCGTACGTCTGTCTGTTTCTCGTTGTTAAAAATTAGCGCTAAATATTTACCATCCGCCCGACGTGGTTGTTATGGAGGTTGATTTCCGAATGTATGTCCGCGCCGCTCTCCCTCGAGTCAAGGAACTTCTTCGAAAAGCGAATCCCGTAGTGGAGATTGTGAGAGCAGCCGCCCATCTTCCACGCCGAATTCAGGTCCTCCGCCACCTTCATCTTGTACTTATGTGTATCACAGCTGCAATTTTTCAACGATCCTTGACTACAGGCCTTCGCCACCGACAGGACGACTCCGGCCGTGGAGATGGCGTAGGCGAAAGCCGTTTCCCTGAAACCTGAAAAAATTCATTAGGAGCTGACAGCGCTCGCAAATAAACTGGGAATACATCGCTAATAAATCTAAAGAGACGCACGTAAGGCAGCTACAAACAAGGTATGAAGGAGAGATAAAAATTTTGAGGACAAGTACTATATAGGGTATTGGCTACTGTTTTATAATGCAGCATTGAGAAATGTTGACGATCGTAAATCTTGAGCAGCGGGTCGCTCTGTTGCGAGTTGTTCGCGTTGCGATTACGCATGCCGAAGAAGATGGATGGGCATGGGCTGATGGGGTCGGGAAAAATTTCGCGGTTGGGTAAGCGCGCGGGAATGGCCAAAATTGGACGGAGATGGTGAGGGTCTGAGTGTTTGTAGAGTAAATTTTGAGCACAGGATTTTCCATTTCAGGTCAAACTTGCGCAATTTGGCCCCGTTTTTTACACGTTTTTTAGAAAGTTGGCGGTTGTGTGAAATTTGTACAACAATAAATCGTTAGAGTTTCCTTAGAAATTACGACACGTTATAAAATTAATCGAAACTGCAGCCAGTAACATCATTAACTACAGACTCGTGGTCCGAGTGGATATGCGTTGTTTAAGTATTATTTATACATTATTTGAAAATTACTGAGTCTGTTTTACTTTTTAATCAGTTGAATTACACTTTGTTTGTTTCAATCTAAGAGCATTTTTTTTTATAAAAGCCAGCTTAGATCAAGCCAGGTTAGGCCTGATCAGGTTACATCAAGTCAGATAGTGTCAAATCAAGTCATATAAAAATCATAATTTAATGAAACTCGGGTCACGTTAAGTCAGGTCAGGTCTGGTCAGCGGAAGTCACAGAATAAAATCATAATTTAATAAAACTCAGGTCAAGTTAGATCAGGTCAGGTATGATCAAGTCAAGTCACATTTTATTATTTAACGAGACTCGAGTCAGTTCAACAAAACACCAGCGGCCTCCAAGATTCTTTCAAACTTTTTGAAAAAATTAGACAGCAGAGGCTTTGAAGTTTTTTTTTGAACTTCTTCCAAAAACGAACAACAAATGTCCTCAAGATTCTTTCAAATTCTTTAAAATCGGAGATACCACGGTTCCTCAAGAAGATTCTTTCAAATTTTTAAACACTCACGACCTCCAAGATTCTTTCAGCTTTTTCCCAAAGAGAAACACCAGGGAGCCAGATCATTGAACCGTCTTTCAAAAACAAAACACCAGAGACCCCGAAGATTGTTTCAACTTCTTCATCATTTCTTCGATAATTCCTCCCATTTTTTCAGAATCGCTCTTTGAATTATGAGTTTTTTCGATTTATTGCAAGAATCGTATTTCAGACCAAAGTTCTTTATAATTCTGCTCCGCGACCAAAACACGTACATTTTTGGAATCAGTACGTCAAAATCTACATCCCAGAAATTTTTGAGAATTTTTTGGTATACTTTTTCTGAAGCAAAATTTTTCAATTTTGCCCAATTTTCGACAGTTTTGGAAATTTAATTAAAAACATTTTCTTATAGATTTTGAACACTATGTTTTTGGAATTAGCTGAACAAAATCTACATATGTCCGAGAAGTTTTTGGAAATTTTTTCAAAAGCAAAATTTTTCGGAACCCCCTATGATTTTTGATAATTTTCAAAATTTAGCTAGACATTTTCTTTCAGATTTCGATCTCTAGAAGTTAGTTTCGGACTCGTTTCTTCGATAGCTCCTACCATTTTTCCAAAATCGCCCACGGAAATATTGCAATTTAAAAAATATATGTTTTCTCAGACCGAATATTTTAAAATCTTGAACATTATATTTTCTGCTACTACCTGCTAGATAACACTGATCTTAGCTAATGACATACACTCTAAGAAAATAGGGAGCGGATGGACAGGACTAGTACTTGTTAAAATAAGACTGATTTTAGCAAATAACGTATCCTGCAATAGAGGGTGGGTGGGCGGGGCTAGTGATTGCTGAGACTGATTTTAGCAAATAACATATTATCAAAAAAAAAATAGAGGGTGGGTGGGCAGGGCTAGTACCTGCTAAGATTGACTTTGGCAAATGACATATCCTCTAAGAAAATATTATGCATTTTTGGAATCAGCACGTCAAAATCTACATTCCAGAAATTTTTGAGAATTTTTTGGTAACTTTTTCTGAAGCAAAATTTTTCAATTGTGCCTAATTTTCGACGATTTTGTAAATTTAACTAAAGACATTTTCTTCTAGATTTTGACCTACAGAAGTTAGTTTCGAAATCATTTCTTCGATAGCTTCTATCATTTTTCAGAATCGTCTGCCCAAATACTTGAGTTTTTTGGATTAAAAAAATTATCATTTTTTCGATAATAATTCCCCCCATTTTTCCAGAATTGCCTCTTGAAACAAATACGAGATTATCGGATTTTTTACAAGAATTTAATTTCAAACCAAAGATTCTTACAATTTTGACCCGGGACCAAAACTCGCTGTATTCTTGGAATCAGCAAATCAAAATCTATACCTACCCCAGAAATTTTGGAAAATTTTTTGGATTAAAAATTGTTTTCAAACCGAATATTTTTAAATACTCAACACTATGTTTTTGGACTAGCACGATGTAATCTACACAATGTCCTAGTATTTTTTGGTAACTTTTTCAAAAGCAAAATTTTTCAACTTCGGCCAATTTTCGACAATTTTTGGAAATGTAACTAAAGAAATTTTCTTAATGATTTTGATCTCCAGAAGTTAGTTTCGAATTTATTTCTTCGAAAGCTATCATTTTTCATAATTGCCTACTCAGACTACAGTTTTTTGGAATAAAAAAAAATATTTTCAAACCGAATATTTTTAAATCTTGAACACTATGTTTTTGGAATTCGCTGAACAAAATCTACATATAACCTAGAATTTTTTGCAAATTTTTTCAAAAGCAAAATTTTTCGGAACCCTCTATGAAAATTTCGACAAATTTTTGATAATTTTCAAAATTTAGCTAGACATTTTCTTTCAAATTTCGATCTCTAGGAGTTATTTTCGGACTTATTTCTTCGATATCTCCTACCATTTTTCCAAAATCGCCCACCGAAATATTACAATTTAAAAAATATACTCCTATGTTTTTTCAGACCGAATATTTTAAAATCTTGAACATTATATTTTTTGCTACTATCTGCTAGATAAGACTGATTTTAGTAAATGACACACTCTAAGAAGATGGGGAGCGGATGGACAGGACTAGTACTTGTTAAAAAAATACTGATTTTAGCAAATAACGTATCTTGTAATAGAGGGTGGGTGGGCGGGGCTAGTGCCTGCTGAGACTAATTTTAGCAAATAACATATTATCAAAAAAAATAGAGGGTGGGTGGGCAGGGCTAGTACCTGTTAAGACTGACTTTGGCAAATGACATATTCCATAAGGAAACAGAGGGCGGGTGGGCGGGGTGGGTACCTGCTAAGTTAAGACTGATTTTGGCAGATGACATATCCTCTAAGAAAATAGAAGGCGGATGGGCGGGGAGGGTACCTGCTAAGATAAAACTGATTTTGGCGAATGACACACCCTCTAAGCAAATATTATGCATTTTTGGAATCAGCACGTCAAAATCTACGTTCCAGAAATTTTTGAGAATTTTTTTGGTAACTTTTTCTGGAGCAAAATTTTTGACGATTTTGGAAATTTAACTAAAGACATTTTCTTATAGATTTTGACCTACAAAAGTTAGTTTCGAAATTATTTCTTCGATAGCTTCTATCATTTTTCAGAATCGTCTGCCCAAATACTGGAGTTTTTTGGATTAAAAAAATTATAATTTTTCGATAATAATTCCCCCCATTTTTCCAGAATTGTCTCTTGAAACAAATATGAGATTATCGGATTTTTTACAAGAATTTAATTTCAAACCAAAGATTCTTACAATTTTGACCCGGGACCAAAACTCGCTGTATTCTTGGAATCAGCAAATCAAAATCTATACCTACCCCAGAAATTTTGGAAAATTTTTTGGATTAAAAATTGTTTTCAAACCGAATATTTTTAAATTTTCAACATTATGTTTTTGGACTAGCACGACGAAATCTACATAATGTCCTAGTATTTTTTGGTAACTTTTTCAAAAGGAAAATTTTTCAATTTCGGCCAATTTTCGACAATTTTTGGAAATGTACCTAAAGACATTTTCTTAATGATTTTGATCTCCAGAAGCTAGTTTCGAATTTATCTCTTCGAAAGCTAGTATCATTTTTCATAATCGCCTACTCAGACTACAGTTTTTTGGAATAAAAAAATATTTTCAAACCGAATATTTTTAAATCTTGAACACTATGTTTTTGGAATTAGCTGAACAAAATCTACATATAACCTAGAATTTTTTGGAAACTTTTTCAAAAGCAAAATTTTTCGGAACTTTTATGAAAATTTCGACAAATTTTTGATAATTTTCAAAATTTAGCTAGACATTTTCTTTCAGATTTCGATCTCTAGGAGTTAGTTTCAGACTTTTTCTTCGATATCTCCTACTGTAAGAAAATATAGGGTGGGTGGGCGGGGCTAGTGCCTGCTGAGACTGATTTTAGCAAATAACATATCTTCAAAGAAAATAGAGGGAGGGTGGGCAGGGCTAGTAGCTGCTAAGATTGATTTTGGCAAATGACATATTCCATAAGAAACCAGAGGGCGGGTTGGCGGGGCGGATACCTGCTGAGATAAGACTGATTTTGGCAAACGACATATCCTGTAAGAAAATAGAGGGTGGGTGGGCGGGGCTAGTGCCTGCTAAGATTGATTTTGGCAAATGGCATATCTTCTAAGAAAATATAAGGCGGATGGGCGGGGCTGGTACCTGCTAAGATAAAACTGATTTTGGCGAATGACATACCCTCTAAGAAAATATTATATATTTTTGGAATCAGCACGTCAAAATTTACATTCCAGAAATTTTTGAAATTTTTTGATAACTTTTTCTAAAGCAAAATTTTTCATTTCCGCCAATTTTCCACAATTTTTGGAAACGTAACTAAAGAAATTTTCTTACAGA